AGGGAGGGGCAGAGGGAGAGGATCTCAAGCAGTCTCTGCACTGAGCACAGAGCCTGACATGGGGCTCGATCTCACAACCCTGAGACCATGACCTGAGCCAAAATCAAGAGTTGGACACTCAACTGATAGAGCCGCCCAGGCCCCCGTATTTGTGGTATTTCTGCAGTCTGAACTCTCAGCTCAGTCAGCGACCCATAGGATCAGTGTGCGGTCAGCCTTCGTAACTCCTGCTGCTGGCCTCACTCTCCTCTCTCGCACATGTGGTGTGACTAGTTCCTGTGCAGGGTCCGTTTGAACGTGTTCTGAGGCTCAGGCCTTAGCTTCTCCCAACCACTTAAAACACCTGTGTCCGTCCTTTCCCCATGAAGAAAGCCAAAAAGCAGGAGATGTTCTGTGTTACCTCTGGCAACAGAGGGCATGTTCTCTTTTTAGTTTTTTTCTTTCTCAGCTGATTTTGCCCGGACTTCTAACTCACTTGGCGTGTAGCATTTATTTCCTTATCTAATATTTTGGAATCCTGGGATGTTGAGGAGGTCTGCTGGGATGAGTTCAGCCTCCTTAGGGACCAGCAAGCTTCAGTGACTTACAAGGATGGAAAGCTCTAGATAGTTCAGCTGGCCCTAGAACCCGAGTTGCCTTTCCAGTATACTGTTGTTGCTCGTAGTGGCTAGGGTTTATAAATCACTTCCAGAGAAGAATTTGGGGATTATTTTCAAAAAGGACTGGTCGCTCTTCCACAGAAAAACATTTGAAGATGTTAACTTAGATGATTTTTGCAGAGCTCTACATCTGAGTATTTGACTCTCTTATTTTTCGCTTCTCTAGGCAAATCCGCCCTGCTTGCTGTCCACTGTCCAGTATATCAGTAGCTTTTATGCCAGCTGTCTGTCTGGGGAGGAATCCTATTGGTGGATGCAGTTCACAGCAGCAGTGGAGTTCATTAAAACTATCGACGACCGAAAGTGACCAAGACCAAGGCCCACCAAGGCCGCAGACTGTTAGGCGGGCAAACAGATCTCTTAGAAAATGTACCAGCTACTTGGAAGGCTGAAGATTGTTTTTGTATAATATTGTACAGCATTCAGACATTTTAAAACAGATCTTTACTAAACAGATTAATGAGCTAACAAGCAGGTTCTCTTTTCTTTGGGCTCTTTTCCTTTCTGTTGCGTATTTGGTTATTTTCTTGTCCCAAGTGGAGAATTAGTACTGCAAAAAGGGACCACATTTTTCAGGTATTTTGAAATATTAAAAAACAGAACAAAATCTAGAAAATTCCTAGATCTCCATTCATGGATACCCATTCTTTCCTTTTATTTAAAAAAATAAAAAGAACAGTACACCTCTTTTTAGATGCTGTCTAATCTTACAGGCATCTAATGGAAGGAGAATTCCAGCTGCACTGAGAATTAGAACGGTGGTGACATCAGTGGCATTATCTATAGATACACTCACCTCGATTGAAAAGCTAAGAAGGAAATGTAAATATAATATATATTTATATTTGATGTAATATGGACATCTTCAGATTCTAATAAACAAGGAATATTGCTGATAGTAGGTTGTGATGTACCCTCTTGTGAAATGGTTTCCTGGACAAAGTTTAAGCTGAGCTTAAAAGCAACAAGTACACAGAAATATTAATTAAAGTGGAAAACAGTTTCTTGAACTTTCTAGGTGTGGAGTTTGATGCACAAGGCTGCCTTTGATGAGGGGTATAACAATCACTTAGACATTCCTCACCACAGACGTCTTCGAGCCTGCAGGAGGAAGGAGGTAGACCCTTTAATCGCCATGCATTGCGTACAAAGGAATGATAGACACCTGATACGTTACTGTGGTTCTTATCTGAAATACTGAACACAGTGTAGAAACCCCAAACAGAACTCCTTTTAAACCTTCGATTGTAATATATTTTTGATGATTATTCACATTGAATGACAGACCAGGAATTCAGTGAATGTCATTTTTTTTAAAAACTAATTTGTATTGTCTGCTCTAGTGATACAAGTTTTACTAGTGATAAACTATTTTAATCAACCATATTATTCTTATGGAAAAAAGTCTATTTTGGCAGGTTTCTGTGCCTTTATTTCCCTCTTCTGAACAAAAGTCTATGTTTCAGTATTTTGGTTTGATTGTATATTGATAATCAGGAGTGGGTTTTGGTGTCTGAGAAATTGGCCAAGGAGGCACACCAAAGCTTCAAGCACAAGTCTCGTACCTAAGTCATGACTGACTGGTTTCACTTTGTATGTTTCCTAAACATGGTGAGCTGCTTTTATAACACACTTGGCCCCATACTTTGAGTCGCTTGTTGCAGGCAGCATTTCTAGGCGTTTTTAAGGGAACTGTGACAAACAACCTTGAGCAGATGAATACAGAGGCTGTCTTCTCTCCAAGACCTCTGTGTTTAATTGTGCCTAAAGAGGCTGGATTTTCTTTATGCCTCCACCTCTTCTCATTCATTTATTTTAAAATACCAAAATGACAAGTTGCATAGGAGTGTGGGATGTGGTTTCTGCCTTTTAGGGAGAGATCAGAATTAAACTAGTACTACAAAATGTCCTTTGGGATGTTAGGTCAAGCAATCTGTGTAGAGTCCTGCGCTTCAGGGGCTGTAACTGTCAAACTTGCCTGCGTATTAGATTGTCCAATCCTATCCTAAACACTTTACGAGACGAACAGTCTGACACGATTTCTAAGACCCGAGGGGGAGTCCATTTACTTCAGCATTTGATTCAATAAATGTTAAGTCAGTAGAAGACTCGGAATAGTTGGAATGCATTATTACGGGATTTCATAGAGATTTTTTTCTCCAAATGGTTCTCCATCTCTGCTGTGTTATCACTGTGGAAATAAATGCGAAGCTGTGGACGTGGCACAGGGCTCTTTCCTGGGGAGGAGAAGGTGGTGAGTTGGGGGATTTCGGGCTGCGCTGGAGGCAGGAGGTAAGGGCCGAGCAGCGCTAGAGCCAGTGGTGAGGGTAGAAGCCCACAGACCTGGCACCAGACGACGCCGGAGACAGGCGGGGGCGTGGGTCTCGCCTCACGTGCGGCAGCACAGCCCCGCTGTTTAAGGAGCAGTGAAGTTTCCCGCTGGAAACCCGGTTAGGAGCACGGACAAACCAGCATTCCCCATTGCCGGTTTCATGTGGCATCATGACTTGTTACGGTGCCAGTCTCCGAATTGAGGAATTGGTAACGCATGGCCGTGGTAGGGCGTGAGACAGCCAGTGATTGGATTTCGCTCCTTCAGGAAGGAGGAACGGTTGTTCCTCGGTTCTTACCACACTTCCTCCCAGTACCTGTTTTGTATGAAGGATTAGTGCAAAAGTGTAAAATCACCCACAGGAGACATTCAGTAGCCATTGATTATTACATGGAATTTGCAACGATAATGTTAAATGGAGAGAGAGTGGCTCAGTTCACTGAAATCTTACGCAGTTAACTTCTCAAATGAGAAATGAGTTTGTGTTTTGTGTTAATATTCTGCTTCTGGAGACGGTTAGGTAATAGGAATACAGACTGAAGATTGTGTTTCCTTGTGAAATTGTTTTTTTTTAAAACCTGGTTAACGTTTTGTTTGCTTTCTCCACTTTAGTTCACATCTCAGCCACAGTAATTGCTTTCTTCTGATTTTTCTTTTAAAAACCTGCTGATGAAAGCCTTTTTTAAATACAGATATTAAATCGCTGTAGTAAGAGAATTAGGCTTTGTGAGGGATTGAGAATAGACGTGTTGCATGGTTTTTCTTTTCCTGTTGTGTCCTGGAAGCCTTTGTTTAACATGGACTTTCAGTATACGTGTTGCTGAGGTGCATGAGCAAGAGAACAGAAACCGGGCCCAGACAGTGGCCAGGCTGTGCTGAGACCGTGTAGCCGACTGTGCATGCCCATCCAGCACCTCTGTCGAGTTGCCTGCCGTGGGGATTCCAGTTTGGGCCAAGTAAAGGTCAACTACATAATTAAAATGGGGGAGACTAAATTTAAAGATTCCTCTCTGTGATGTGGTTGGGTGTGGAAAGGGGAAGTTGGACCACACTTGCTCAAAATTATTAGTGGATTACATAGAAGTGATAGAAATATAGTGGGGTTAGCTTCCTCCATGTGTGTCTTAGACGTTCTCTTCCTGCCTCTCCATTCCTGCTTTATTTCTTTAAGGAAAAGTCTGTATTTGCTGTCTTTTTAGTTCTTTTAAGTCTAGTGGATTTACTCTGTATGCAATTGCCATCATTGGGGCGGGGGGATCAGAAACAATCTTGTTGAAGCTCAAAGAATTTTTAGTAGGTTAACAGTGATGAGACATTTGAGATATTTTGAATGCCAAAATGCTTGAGAACTTTGCCAGATTAATACTTAATATATTTTAGAATGTAGGTTACCCAAGAAGTGGGATGACCAGGAATTGCTTTATTCCTCCTGAGAACACTCGGAGAAAGGAAAACATAGTTTGCTTCAGTGTCATGGTTGGTGTGGAGTCACCGTGGAGCTGGTGTGTCCCACAGGCCTGCACTCAGCAAAGGTTAAGTTCAAGAGGGAGGAAGTCCTCTCTACTGGGTTCGTGGCAGATAGTGTGGGCAGCAGCCACACGCCGTAAGAATTCACCTCTGCTGAGCTGATACTCTGTCTTGTTTACCGTATTCTTGTGCTTCACCTGTATTAAAAAGCGTTGTACTGCCTCTCCTCTTGAAACTGATAAAACCTTCTATAAGCCTCAGCTAATGAGCTTGCACAATCTTGTATATGTACAGGAAACTCCTCCTGTCTTCTAATGTGATGACTGATGTATGGTATCGTTCTGTAAAGCTGATTAAAAAGGGAGAGCAGTTGAATTCACTGGATTTTATGTTTCCATCATCTATTTTATACGTAGAAGCAGTTCCGAAAGTTTCTTTGACTTCAAATATTACTAATTTCTCCATGAATTCACACTTGTCTTTTTCTCCTGAACGTCTAAGGATATTTGTTAAGTGTGGTCCAGGAAGGAATGAGCATGAACTCACGGTTGCTAAGGCGATGGTGAACATTGACTGGTTTCACACGGTTTGTTTCTGACCCTTGTATTTGGTAGCTACTCATCAGCCTTAGTTCTGCGAACAGAAGTCCCCATCACGGTATTCACTGAAGCCTTTATTAATCTTTTCAGCTGAGGGGAGGTGCTATCAGACAAGGAGTCCTTGTCACAAGCTCACTCTGCAGGCTTCCCTCACTGGTGGAAAGGTGCTTTCCCTATATTGATTGCACTTCATTTAGAAGGAGACATTAAAAATTTGATTAGGGCTCCATTTTCATTCAGTCTGTTCAGTATTAAAATCAATGCTATCACTTGCCTAAAACTGAAAATAGAATTCAACTTTTCTTGCCAACTTGGCATTACCTATGTGCTTGGACTCCTGTTATATTTTACCCACTCAACCCCGGTCTCCCAGTAAGTGGCTCCGTAGCCTTTGCCGAAGGATGCTGAGCTGTGTCACTGTTGAGCTAGGCCTCCCTGTAGTGCTGCCTGTAAAATGTGTCACGATCCTGAGAAGTGAGATCATTTCTCAGAAGCGCTTCTTGGCTATAAATGTGTCCTCTGCCTAGAGATGTAAGGATTCATTAAAGAGCTTTTGCTTCAGTCATTTCATTCCAGAAGAATCCTTTTCCATCTTCTTGGGGTACCAAAATGCAGTACATAGACTTCAAAAAAAAAAAAAAAATTGACCAAAGAGACCAGAAAAATCTCTGGCTGTGGGGATCCTGAAAACATCTTCCACATGTGGGAATAGCTCTCAGTTCCAAGTCATTGAACCTGTTGTAGATGCTGAACATGAAAACCACAGTAGACTTATTTCTGTTAACTAGGAATTCAGCATATTGCTGGCCGAAACCATTAAATTTTATGTTCCTGTGAAAAGAGTATCTGATGTGATTTTTTTTAAAGTCATCTCTATGCCGGACGGGCTTGACCTCACGACTCTGGGATCAAGAGTTGCATGCTCCACCGACTGAGCCAGCCAGGCACCCCTTTTGATGTGATTTTTTAAAAGAGGACATTTTCACCTCAGCTTTCCTTACCCCTCTTAATTGACAGAAGTTTTGTAACCAGGGCTGTTGATTCATATATGTAGCCGCTGATGTTTCTTAGTCATTCCTGGGGAATTCAGTCGGGATCTGTCCTGACTCTGACCAAATGAATTATAATCTCCAGGAGTGGGACCCAAAATTGTGCCCTAGGGAGTTCTGTAAACCATTGTTTTCCAAACTTCCCTCTTGAGAATCACCTGGTACTCTTGTTTGTAAATCCGAATTTATTGAGGATGGAACCAGGCATCTTTACATCCTTTACATCCTGGCTCTAGGCTATCTGGGCTAGAGAGTCAGGAGAAGACCAAAGATTAAATTTTAAAAAAGGAAACGTAGAAGCCACCTTTCAAAGACCTGTATTACAGGTACTTGATCAGTGTTTCAGACGTGAGTCTGAAAAAGTTGGCAGCTTGGTTCTTGGAAGATCTCTGAATCATGTGCATTTACCAGGGCAAGTGGTCAGGACCCCATCATGAGACAGGTGGAAGAAAAACACCCAGTCACAGCATTTTCTCCAGCAACAGAGGAGATGTGGCAATGAGGGAATAGTGAAGCATGCAAGGGGGTGATGTCAGTCAAAAGACGACATGGCACAGTGTATCGTTATTCCAGGCAGGTCTCTGAGATGGGGCCTGTGGGCATATGAAGAAGGGTCTGGAATTTATGGGGAAGGGGAAGCAGACTATGGTGAACTCACAGATATAAACAATGGAAGGAGGGGGCGCCTGGATGGCTCAGTTGGTTGAGCGACTGCCTTCGGATCAGGTCATGATCCTGGAGTCCCGGGATCGAGTCCCGCATCGGGCTCCCTGCTCGGCAGGGGAGTCTGCTTCTCCCTCT